AACCTTCTCCCAGGTTGTTCTGTTTCCCTCACAACCTCTCTCTGTTTCTCTCTATTTCTCGTTTTACAGAATTACATTTAAGTTTTCTAAAACCCTAAACCACAGTAATGTTATATTTATAGGCTCAGAACAATAAACCCTAATCCGTGTATAATTAGAGAACCTAACTAAAATTCTAGTTGGCCCATCCGTGTATTCTAAAAGAAAAGAAATCCTAACTTTTAACATCAAAACTGTTACTAGTTTAATCCAATTACACACGTGAGAAATTCAAATAAAAATAATACAATGAAACCAATTTCAAATTAAAAAGTAAAACATTTAATTCATTTAGCGAAAATAACATACAGAATACAATTAATTCCATTTAATTCAAATAAGTCCATTAAATCAAATAATCCAAATAATTCAAATAAATTCAAATAAATCAAATTAGAACAATTAATGCAAATAACCAAGCAACAAAAATAATTAAATAATTTAAAATGCAACCAAAAACTTAAGTAAAAATACCAGGACTATCCTTTTAAAATTAGGGGTATTACATTCTTCCCCCCTAACAAAAGGAATTTCGTCCTCTGAATTCGCTCTTACCTTCTTCTAATATTTCAGGAAACTGCGAGCAAATCACATTCTCCCATTCCCAAGTAGACTCAGCCTCATTGTGATGACTCCACTGAACACGCACCAAAGGGATAACCTTATAACGAAGGATTTGATCCCGTCGGTCGACAATATGACACGGTGGCTCCAAATAAGTTGCATCTGGCTGCAACTCAATCTCCCCAACATCGATATGCTGATACCGATCCTTATCTCATAGAAATTTCCACAACATGGAAACATGAAACACGTTGTATACGTGATCCAAATTATCCGGGAGTGCCAACCGATAAGCGATAGCTCCAACGCGATCTGTAATCATGAATGGACTAACAAATCGCGGAGACAACTTCCCTTTCTTCCCAAAGCGCATTACACCCTTCATAGGAGACACTTTGAGTAGAACCTAATCCCCAACCTGAAACTCTAAAGCACGTGTGCGACGATCGGCATAACTCTTTTGCCGACTCTGCGCAGTGCGCCTGCGATCCCTAATAAGAGCAATCTTCTCAGAAGTATCCTTAATGAACTCAGGACCCAAGAATTTGCTTCTCCCCAACGTCCATTCAATAAACAGGCGATCGACACATTGGTTTTCCTCCTGGTGCGTAGGAAGTTCATTAATCTCAAGTGAGATTGGGTGTCCATGATTGGACAATTGGTGAGTAGCGTGTGATAGGGTGTCGAGTGCATTTAGGGATGGCAATTTCCTCCATCCCGCTGGGTTTCCACCCCGCTCCGCTCCTAATGGGGCGGATTTGGTAGCTCCATAAATGAGTTTGGGACGGATATGGTAAAAGAATTAAAAACCCGAAGCGGGTTTGGGGCGGGGGCGGATTTAGTGATGCCCCCACCCCACCCCCGCCCCGCCCCCGCCCCGACCCCGATTATATATATATATATATATATATATATATATATATATATAAAGTATATATTTAATTTAAGTGTCCATTAATATATTTTGACTAAATATTCGCTAGAATTACTACTTACTAAAATTCTACAATTGTGCACGTGATTCAATCTTCAAAGATTACAGATCTTAGTATTCTATCCCAAGTCTAGGAATTAATTCAACAGTTTCAACTTTACCGCAATTAAACGGAGTATGCAGGGCGGAGTTGGTATTTTGTCTACCAGAGTATAGGTGGGAATGGTATACCAATTGTAAACCCGTCTTGGAGTTGGAGCGGAGTTGGTATAATGAATTTTTTAATGGGGCAGAGTAGGGTTTAGCCAACTCCATCCCAACTCCGCCCCATTGCCATCCCTAAGTGCATTCGGGTACGAGTTGTCAGTCTCTTGTAAGAGCGGGGTTGTTACCCTTTCCGTTAGTTCTAGTCCAGGCAAGGGCGTCATTTATCGTAAGTCTTGTTCTCCCTTTAGGAGTTGTGCGCGTCCGTAGGTGGATGGACTTGTGTATGGGTTGTTATGCTGTTTGGGTTTATTAGTAAAGGTTTGGTTAAATGGGTCGACTCACTCCCACGGAGGGAGGTGTAGTCTTTGGGTTTTTGTGGCGCTTGTTTTGGGGGTGGTCTTGATCGATGTAATGTGAGGCACGAGTTGCCGAATAGGAATTGTGTTTCCGGTGTTTGGTACAACCGGTGATGGCTAGGGATGTGCCGTGAATTGTAAGTTTGAGGATGGTTAGGTAATATGATGTGAATCAAGTCTCGGGTGTTTCTATAGATGTTTGATTTGACCAGTATCTTGAGGACAAGTGTTAGTATTGTTTTGGTGTTATGTAGCTAGAAAGTGATCATGGGGTTTCATTGAAGAATAATAGGAATGGTTGACTGTGGTTTTGAGGTTTCAGGCATGAGACGGTCGTATTGAGTGTTCTGGAGAGGTACGAATTGAACCAAATGATGACATAGAGTCGTTTACCTAGTATAGGTGTTTGAGGAGATTAGAGATCTTTTATGCTGGTTGATAATTGTGACGTTTAGTGCCGTATTGTTTCCAGCTTGTTAGGAGTTGTGTGATTAATGTGCGATTGGGATTTTTAGAGCTGGTATGTGATTATATAGTTGTCAAAGTTATGTAAAGTGACAAATTGATTAGGGAGAGGATCTCGTAGTTATTTTGTGGACTGTATGGGGTTGTATATGAGGTTAAACCTGAGGACAGGAACGATGTCTGTGTTGAGATCGGATCGATGATGAGAATGGCTTGGCCAACCATTTATCCTGAGTCAATCCATCTTTAGCACGATGTCGGGTCAAAGGTCCATGATTATTTTAGGTTGTCAGGAGCAGTGAGAGCATAGCATTGTATGTTGTGTCAGTGTGACAGTGTGGACTTTGATGGTTTGTCTTGGGTGACGAGGTACGTTAGGTGGGACCAAGTGTCCGATAATAGGTTATACGATGATTGAATATTGAAGATCTTGTTTTGAGGATTAGTGTCCTGGGTATAGGATAGTGCACTTTACTGATCTAGTGACAAATGTTTATGCAGTTGTTGGAAGAATTGTTGTTTGGTCATCTTGAGGTTGATAAGTATAGTGATCGTCGTATAGTGCGATTAGTAGTCGTTGGTACGGTTATGTGATGGTGTAGTTCCGTGTTGGATAGCGAGTACTTAGTTTGACAAAGATGTATAGAATTGGGATTTGGTGTGTCCTTAGAACAATAAGTTGTGGTTGGATGTTGTCTTAAATTGGTGGTTTGGTGATCGTTTTTCTTTCTGACTTTAGAGCCTTTCATGGCAGTGTAGAGTGGACCAATATCTGTTATGAGTCAGGCGTATGGTCTAGTTGGTCTTGTGTTATGATGATGTGAGAGATGGGTAACCATATTGGGTTTTAATAGCAGTGGTATGTGATGGTCTGGTGATGTCGGGTGTCAAAGGCAACAGAGTTGTTGAATTCTTAGCTTTGTAGTTTGGTGAGGTGTTTCTTAGGGAAAGTATGTAGCTGTGGACCTTCTTCATAAGGAGGGTAGATTTCGAGGACGAAATCTCTTTAAGGAGGGTAGATTGTGATGTTTCCAATTTTTGGCATTTTTCATTTTTTCAAAAAATGTATCGTTGTAAGGATATTTTCGTCTTTTGTCGTTTTGTGTACCAGATACTGCGGAGTGTGTCGGTTGTGTCCGAGAGTTATTTGGGGTATTTCATTGAGTACGAGACTCTTTGAAATGCAAGGGTGATCATTTTATCATTTTTCTATTTTTTGGGCCGGACGGTCCCATGTGGGACCCACTACTGGAGTTGTTGCATCCGAGGATCTTAGTTGCATCCATTTGCATCATATTTATTTTATTTAATAAGTTTTAAGTGTTTATGAATTAAATGTATATATATGTATGTGTGTGGTGTAAAATGGAAATGAAAATAAAAGAAAAAGAAAATAATTTTTTAAGTTTTTTTGTAAAAATTGAGCAAAAGGGCATTTTGGGTATTTCACATCAAAATTAAAATTTTCTTTTGACATGGTCAGCTAGAAAACATGATTTTGAAGGGAGGTTCTTCTTTGTGTTTTTCCAAAAAAAATTATTTAAGGGTCCAAAATAGTACACTGTTTTCAAAAATCTGTCAAAACATTATTCTGAGCTGCTGTCAGCCGTGCCACGTGCATAGCACACGCGCGCATCCTTGCGCGTGCACGCGGCACACTTCACAGTGCACACATGGGGGCTGCCTTGGTGCCCATTGGCCGCGTCGACTCCCAATTTTTGTTTTGCTCTTTCTCCTCCGTCCGAACTCCAAATTAAGTGATTTTTGAGTCTATCTTTATTAATTTTTCATTATCTATCCAATAGTGTGTTTGGTGGCACTTGCATCTTTTTGTAAAATTACCAATTTGCCTTTAGGGCTAAACTTGTCCCTTTTTTAAAAAACTTCGCTCCCGCACTTTATCTCTTTGAGTCCCGTGACTTCATGGGAAGTTATGCTCATGTCTTAGAGATGACGTACATCTCTAGAGACTTTGTTCCCGTGTGAAAAGATGATTTTGCCCTTGGGACCATACTTGGTCTATTTTTTCAACTTTTGTTTCCGTTCTTGTTCTTTTCGAGTTCCATGACCTCATGGAAGGTCACTTTAGTGTCTTAGGGATATTGTATATCTCGAGAGACCTTGATTATGTTTTCGTTTTCGCATTCAGGATCCGTTATCGGGTCAAACTTTAGTTCATCATAAGACGCACTGGCTTGAAAAACCAGGGCCGTCACAATTCTTAGAAGTCACAAAGAGTACAAAGTTTTACCAAGTATACCTGGGTGAACAACATTTGCCATTGGTTGGACCTGTTCCTCTTCCGTAGAATTCACCATGGCTTTTTCTCCAATATTCTTCTAAGGCTTTTTTGTAAAATCCCACCAGTCAGGATAGCCAATAATCTCACAACATTGTTGTTTCGAATGGCGCGATTCACCACAATGAGTACATACTTGCCCTCCAGATTTTCCAATAGCCTGATTACTGCAATATTTCAAAGGGCCGGATGGTGTTCCTTGTCGAGTTTGGTTGGCTATCATCGCCGAGCTCTCAAAGATTGGATGAGATCTTCCTATCATCTACTTTTGCTGATACTCTCTCTGCATATATGCATACGCACTCTCGAGGTCAAGCTTTAGATTTTTTCACAAGATTTCTCCACGAACCTATTCAAATTCAAAGTTAAGTTCACTTAGAAAAATTTAAAGTCGAAGCCTTGCCATGGTCGAGTAAAATTGAACCACTCCTTCAACTGTTCTTGCTTATGACAGTCCTGTGATCAATCTCCTGAAAAATAGCAACAAGTTCATTATATGTCGGCAGAGGGTGGCCATTTTGTTTGTAGAAAAAGACCTCTGATTTAATTCAAAAATACACGTTTCATTCGATCCGTCATAGAAGGTTCTAGACACCACCTCCCATATCTCCTTAACCGTGGGAAGATAAATAAATCGCTACATCAATGACAGGCTCATCGAGTCAATGAGCCAACTCTTGACTCGATGATTTTCGGTTATCCATGCCTCCAATTTCGGATCTCCAGGTGCGGGTTTTGTTGCTTCTCCAGTGAGATACCCAGTCTTGTTACGAGTGCCAATCCGCATCTCCATGAGTTGAGACCATAATGAGCAATTAGTCTCATATATTATCATTCCAGTAGAATTGTTTTGGTAGACTATGATCTGCGGTGCCGGAGTCGAGGTTGGTATGGTAGTTGCGCCTGAAGTAATCGCCATTTAGACTAACAACAAGAATAAAATTCGAAATAAAATATTCGGAATACAGAACACGAAGAAAAGAAGAAAAAAAATTCTTAGACTGTCTCTGATACCATGTTAAAAATATAAAAGAGAGAAACTGTATATTGTATTAATATATGAGATATGAGATACACAGGGGTTTATACATATGACGAGATATGTGGAGAGTAAGAAACCTAAACCCTATATAGTAAACCTATATATGGTTAGAATATATTACACAATATAGTAGTAATATATTCTATGGACGGTAAACCTATACATAGTTACAATATATTACACAATATAGTGATAAAATATTCTATGGTCAACTATCCTAATTATAACAATTTACAAAAATATATTAGGAAATACAGCTCATGCAGACAGTTCAAAAATATGACTTGTTGGTATTATTAAAGAGAAGTGATATTCGTACTTCACTTTTCTCCGTATATACTCCACTTACCTTTTTCTTTTAAAAGAAATGACAAGAAGGCCTATAGACTCATTAATGCATTATCCTTTATTTTATACTGCTATAAGTACCCTTTATACAACTTAAATATATACATTTTTTTACCTTCTTTACTTCCTTTACTATTTTTTATTTATTTATTTTTGCGGATGTCCTCTCAAAGGAGATAATTTTATTTTTGACAATTTATTCAATAGTGCCTTTTTTTGTCCTATCAAAATAAATCATTTTTCTAACTAAGTTAATTTTTTTTCAAGTATTCTTTTTTCAGCCCTGTCAAAAGAGTTGATTTTTTTTTTTTGATAATTTTTAATGAGTCTTGTCAAAATATATAATTTTTTTTTTTCGGTCTCATCAAAAGAGATTTTATTCAGAGATATTTTTTTGAATCCTCCTTTTGTTCCGTACAACATTTTTTTTTGGGGATCTTGACAAAAGATATAATTTGTTCAAAAGATACTTAAAACATTATATATATTTTTGTTATGGCTTATTGGTCATTTAATGAAAAACGATTTGATTTAAGCGATATAATTTTTTTAATAAATAGAAAAAACGAAAGAGCGGGTGATGGTTGGGTCCATTTGTACAGTGGGTGGTAAAATGGACAATCACCGCAAACCGAACATTTCATTTGAAAGAACATATTGGTCTAAAGGGGCTTGATGTATAACCGAAGTCTACTTTCAAGACCCTCTTTGAGGAGGCTTGCAGAAACTAAATTCTACCCAATTCTCAAATATTTCCAACAATCTGAAAAATCATTTTACACCGGAACTCTCTGCCATGCTCAGGCCGTCGCCATCAATACCGAAACAACGAGGCAAAGGTGTGATGCCGGTGATTTTCGCGATGCACACAACGTGTTTGATGGTATTCCCCAACAAGGCCTTCCTGATGACTATCGCTTGCTTTTTCAGTTCTCTCGTAATAATCTCAATTCTGAAGTTCTAAAATTCTTTGTGCATATTCACCGGTTGGGTTTATTGATTGATAGTTATGGCCTATCTTGTGTTTTGAAGGCCTGTGGATGCTTATTTGATCAAATTGTAGGCAAACAAGTACATTGTCATTGTATTAAATCTGGGTTTGTAGGATGTGTTAGTGTCGGCACTTCTCTTGTTAACTTGTATATGAAAACTGAGAATGCGGTTGATGGGAGCAGAGTATTCAATGAGATGCCAGAGAAAAATGTGGTGTCTTGGACTTCATTGCTTTCAGGTTACACACACAATGGGTTGGTTGACAAGGCAGGGGAACTTTTCTTCCAAATGCAACTTGAAGGAATAGAGCCAAACCCATTTACTTTTGCAACTGTTCTTGGAGCTTTTGCAGATGATGGAGCAGTTGAGAAGGGAATTCAAGTGCATACCATGGTTATTAAAAAAGGTTTCGATTCAACTACGATTGTGGGTAATTCTTTGCTTAATATGTATTGGAAATTGGGGATGGTTAGAGATGCTATGGCTGTATTTGACATTATGGAGAATAGGAATGCGGTTTCTTGGAATGGCATGATTGCAGGTTTTGAGAGGAATGGGTTTGATTTGGAAGCTCTTGAGCTGTTTTACAGGATGAGACTTGCAGGTGAAAAGCTGACGCAAATGATTTTTGCGACAGCTATTAAGTTATGTGGTAAACTGAAAGAATTGTGTTTTGCCAGACAGCTCCATTGCCGAGTTCTGAAGAGCGGGATTGGTTCTGAACTCAATATCAGAACTGCACTTATGGTTTCTTACTCTAAGTGCCGCCAACTGGATGATGCCTTCAGATTGTTCTCAACAATGCAAGGGGCTCAAAGTGTGATTTCATGGACGGCAATGATCAGTGGGCATTTGCAGAATGGTTTAATAGAGCGAGCAGTGGATCTTTTTTGCCATATGAGGAGGGAGGGTGTCAGACCAAACCATTTCACCTATTCAACCATCCTTATGGCTCACCCTACTGTCTCCCTCTTCCAAATACATGCACAAGTCATCAAAAGTAATTACACAAGCTTACCTTCGGTAGGGACTGCACTTTTAGATGCTTACATCAAGATGGGAAATACCAATGAAGCTGCTAAAATTTTTGAATTAATTAAAGAGAAGGATATTGTGGCATGGTCTGCGATGCTAGCTGGGTATGCCCAAATAGGAGAAACTGAGGGAGCTGTGGAAGTTTTCCTCCAGTTGGCAAGGGAGGGGGTTATGCCAAATGAGTTTACCTTCTGTAGTGTCATTAATGCATGTGCTACTCCTACAGCAGCGGTGGAGCAAGGGAAGCAGTTTCATGCAAGCTCAATCAAATCAGGATATAATAATGCTCTATGTGTAAGTAGTGCTCTTGTTACGATGTATGCAAAGAGAGGGAATATTGAAAGTGCAAACGAAGTTTTCAAGAGGCAACAAGAGAGGGACTTAGTTTCATGGAACTCAATGATCTCAGGATATGCACAACATGGTTATGGAAAGAAGGCTCTTCAGGTATTTGAGGAAATGCGAAGAAATAACTTGGAAATGGATAATATTACATTCATTGGTGTGATTTCTGCCTGTACTCATGCAGGGCTAGTGGATGAAGGTCGAAGATACTTTGACATGATGGTCAAAGATCTTCACATCAAACCAACAATGGAAATCTATTCTTGCATGGTTGATCTGTATGGCCGAGCTGGAATGCTTGAGAAAGCCATGGATCTCATAAATGCGATGCCATTCCCAGCAGGTGCAACTGTATGGCGTACTCTTTTGGCAGCTTGCCGTGTTCACCTAAATGTAGAGCTAGGAAAACATGCTGCAGAAAAGCTTATCTCAATTCAGCCACAAGATTCAGCTGCATATGTCCTGCTATCAAATATATATGCAGCATCAGGAAATTGGCAAGAAAGAACTGAAGTGCGAAAGTTAATGGACAAGAGAGAAGTGAAAAAAGAAGTTGGTTATAGTTGGATTGAGGTGAAGAACAAGACCTATTCATTCATGGCTGGTGATATTTCACATCCCTTGTCAGGTCGTATTTATTCAAAACTTGAAGAGTTAAGTATACCATTGAAGAATGCAGGATATCGCCCAGATACAAATTATGTGCTTCATGATGTTGAAGATGAACACAAAGAAGTAATTCTTTTTAAACACAGTGAGAGGCTGGCCATTGCCTTTGGGTTAATTGCCACACCTCCTGGCACCCCAATTCAAATTGTGAAGAATCTTAGAGTTTGTGGTGACTGTCATACCGTGATTAAGTTGATATCAGCGATAGAGGGGAGAGAGATTATTGTTCGGGATTCAAACCGGTTTCATCACTTTAAAGGAGGTTTATGCTCTTGTGGGGACTATTGGTAACTCGTAAATGGATCAGTGAGGAGTGGGCTGTATTGAGAAGTTATAGAAGTTGTCTCAATATAACATGCCTGAGTCAAAGGCTACACATGGCTTTATGAGCTGAAAAAACTTTATATGATGGAGGACACTCCACCATGAAGAGTATAATTGTTTGCAATCTGTATGTTCCCTCATTCCATGGATGAACTAAGGCTCACCAAGCAATAATGTATGTACTAAATTTTGAAGTATAGGGACAATATTAAATCAGTAGAGAGTTGGAAAGGATTCATTTAGACAATTCAATCTGTTAAGAAAATTTTTTTTGGCTGTTCAAGCTGATGGAACCTGCTGTGACATTTGGTCACCCAGTGGCATTGGGATACGTTCTTCTCCAAACTGCTCCCAAAACATTGGCCCGAGAAGTATGTGACTATTATCTTTGTGTATTCAAGAGTAACCCTAACATTATTCTTTTCTCACTTGTCTTATCTATTGATTTCCATTAAGTAGATGTTTTAATCTTGAAAATGAACTTGGATATTTATACATTATGAACTCTGTAAAGTACTAATATGAAACTGATACAATACGCTTCCGCTCTATGTTTCTTGTTTGACCTATTTCTTATGATGGGTTCAGTATTTTTGAGGGTTGTTATCAAGAGTTATTTGGCATTTTGGTTTCATTGTCACTTAATATTTCAATGTAGATAAGAACATCCACTTTTACAGTAAATGCGATCCAAATAGGGTATAACAATACCAAGGGTTATTTCTAGCATCATTACAATGGTTTAAATTGTATCACAAGAAGTCATTGCTGTGGTGGAATGCAACAGTATTTGGGTAATAGCTCAATTCATAATTGGAATTAATTATTGATGCTGATAGTTTTTTCTTTTTGTCATTTTCTTTTTTGGTGAATTTTATGACACCTAAAGACGTGATAGTATTTATATTGAATTTTGGTGTCCAAGTACATGCAAGTACAAGTCATCTTTTTATTTGTACCTCTTCATTACTTTTATGATTATGATCATAACTATAACTGAGAAAATATAAAATGTAACCAAATACGTTGAAAAATACTTGTTAATGATGCAACTGATCCTTCTTAAATGCTTTAGAGAAGCCTCTCTCACTTTGAATTTTTTTTTGCCCGAGTCAAATTGTGGTCACAGGAGATTCGATTATTGGGAGGGTGTCCTCAAGTGGATCTTGTCATGGCAACTACGTGCATAAAATCTCAAATATTCATTTAATTATTGTTTTGTATTGTTGAAATACAATATTGGTTGTTTTCTTGGTTTTGGACGGTTAGGGTTTGAAGAAAGAAGAGACAAAATGAAAAACAGTATGTAAAGAGGTGTTGTAAAATGTTTTTGACATCTCTACACTCTCAATTTTATTTCTATTTTTTTTTCCCCTAAGCCAGCTTCTGTTCAACAAAGAAAGAAACAAATACAACTTATAAGAGGGCATACCCTCCAGGACCCAAATAACTTAAAGAAAAACCACCATCAAAACCCTGTTAACACCTGGGAAACAAAGAACAAAGGGAATAACAATTTATAGATAAACCAGTACCCCAGCAAAAAAAAAATTAGTGACTCTTCATTGTATTGACATGAAACAGCCCAAGGATCTTCCAGCTACAGCCCCACAAAACCGATGACCACCACCTTCCAGTAGCACAATTACGAAAGAGATGCTTATCAAGCCGCCTCTGTAATTTGCCCATAAGTGAGAGTGAATGCAAATAACCTCGAATACCAATACTGCACAGCAATTACACACCACAAATAGCATACATCAAGCTCAATCATAAACACATTATTACTCCTTGCACTCCTTAAGATCATATAAGCTTATTCCCAGAGTATCAGAGGCATCACAAATAATAGATTTTGCCAACTGTGAAGCATTTTGTGAAATTCCATTACGTAAACTTTCATTTCTATTCCTACAAATTCTCCAGATTGCAACTGTGAATAAAGTGCTAGTCATTTTTTTTCTTCTTTACCCTGCCCCTAGCCATGAACCATTGAACGATTTGATCATCAGTCTCAAAATGGCTCCATTGCCATTTGAAGAAATCCGACATCCTTAACCAAACTCGTTGAGCATATGAGCACTTTACAAATAAGTGGTCCATAAATTCACCATCATGTATGCAGTTAAAACACACAGGTCCCAGTAAAGTCATACCTTTTCTTGGAAGATTAGTCAAGGAAGGGAGCTTTTTTCGAATCATTAAACAGCTAATAAAACTTGCAGCAGGTCTACATCTTTTCCATACCAATTGATACCAATCCTTCTTTGAAAAATGGAGTCTGCAGCAGTTCCAGTCTCCATAAACCCTTAAAAGAATGAGTACCTTTTTTTTTTTTCATCTTCCAAAAGATCAAATCTGGACCATGGTGAATCACAGTAGAAGTAATCTGATCCCATATGTGCTCTGCTGCTGGATCTAGAAAGTTTGGTTGCATCTACCATTTTGAAATTTGAGTGATACTGCAAATATCTGCATCCTCAGGGAGATCAAATTGTCTAACTATGCTAGCCCAAATGTTTGAATTAAAGAGGAACCTTTCCACCAAGGACCCATTAGTGTTTGCAATTAGAACCTGTCTAACTTCAGTCAAACTCTTTCAAAGTCTTGAATAATGATTCGTTGGAATACAACACCAACAGATGGCCTTTTTAGATTCAGTGCTTTAATCGAAGCTATCCACAATCTATCTTTATTCTATAAAAAATCCCAAAGTAAGGTGCATTTTGCAGCATTATCTATATCTGCAACCCTCCTTATCCCAAATCCCCCTTTAGCTCTAGGTCTGGTGACATGAGTCCATTTCATCAAATGAAGTTTTCTAGCATCATCTTTGTTGCCCCATATTATTCAACCATTTCATTTTACCGGAGCTACTGTTTTTAATAATCCACTCTTCTAGCAAGAGAGAGTTTTAAAGAACACCGGCTATTCAACTCAGCTGCAATTTTATCAATTGCAATCCCCATTTGTTAACACGATCTGTCATAGATAATCCCAAGTCTGAAATGCTTTCAAGTGGAGCCAACGTGGTCGGCCTTGAATGTAGCTCATGGCTGGGATACATTTGGGCCACCATTTTTTAAAAAAAATTTATTTTTTATTTTACCATTTCAGTTGTGGAATGGTAGGCCTAAGAAGCATTTTTCTTCGTGAAAATACTGTAATAATGTTACAGATCTTTTTGTATAAACCGATACAGAACATTGATTTTGATTAGTGTTTCAGATTGCTTTTGTGTATCCAATACTAACATTAGGTCTAGATAGGCAATCAATGATGATGGTTTAGGTAATTGGGCGAGTACCCATTCTTATATTCAAATTATAATATTTCTTTCTTGTCCTCCTAATTGAACTGGAGAAATAAACTTGACTTTTATCCAAATTCACTGCAAGCCCAGATAAATTTCCAGGGCTACTGTCTTGCTATGGCTAATAGATACTTATCACAGGCTAGCTGATGACGGATTGAGAAGCTCATGTCCATTACTCTCCCAGATTTGAAGGCTCGGCAAAACACGTTCATGTTACTTGTCCTGGTCTTCTTTCAGAATATTTTTACAGCTGCAGATTTTTCTGAAGTCCTCAAATTTTCTTCTTCATTTTGATTTCTCATTGAGCTTGCACAGGTGCATCTAGAAGACAATCCCTCACAACATGACTGAGTTTGACTTTAAAATTTTGGCTTGCGAGACACAACTTTTCGAGTTTGGAAATTTCCGTGTATGTGAGTGAAACTACACCCTGGGATGCTTGGTTATTTAATTTAGTAATTTCTTCGCTCTGCTCCTACAGTCCTACGCAAGAATGGATGGTGGTTGAAATAATCCTATTATGCTAGTAAAGGCTGTAACCTAGTGGTATTTTCTTTACCTCCTAAAGTAAGAGGTGAGGGTTCGAATTCTCACAAGAATAAATGTATGTGTTTCTTGCCAAGGAAATATATATAACCTAGCATAATTATTATGTTTTTATGATTTTATTTTTTTTCAATTGTCAGGTTCCTAAAACTAAAAATAGATGACTCATTTTTTCACTTTTCTCTTCTATTCTTACCCTTTTTTTTTTTTTTTTTTTTTTTTTTTTTTTCTGCCAAATGAATGTCTTTCTTCGACCCCTCTTTCTTTTTTCCTACCAAACGGAGCATTAATCAAAGTATTATCTCTTCAGGTTGAAAGTTGAAAGTTTACGAGTGCCGGATAGGTTAATCAAGTGTGTGTGATTTATTGATTTTATTTAAGAGAAAATGAAAAAAATGCAAGAACATGTCCATATGTCCAAATACCAATTCGCATGTTTCATTTTAATGTTATGCTGCAAGAAAAGAACATGGCATTATTTGATAAAAAATGAAATTAAATACTGAACAATTTTAGAAGGTGGATTTTTAAACGTTTGAAATTTTAAAGGGTAAGTGCAAAAAAATCCCTAAATTATTGGGTTTTTGCAACTAACTCCCCTAAACTAAAGATTGCTCTCCTAAACTATTGATTTGCTGTAATTAAGGACAAACCCATCACAAAAGACTATTTTACCCTCTGTTATTAAATTTTTCATTTCTTATTAAATTTTTTTTATATTATATTTTTCTCTTATTTAAATATTAATTATACCATTTACCTTAATTTTATAATCAGTCTCAATTGATTATAAAAATGGAAAAAATAAATAAATTTGTAGCTATCATTTTCTAAAATGATTAATTTATTATAATAAAACTTATTATAGCTTTTAAAAAAAATTAGTATAAAAAATATCTTCTTTTTCAAACAATATTCATGAAAAATTAATAAATTACGTAAATAAAAAAAATATCTTCTTTTTAATACAATATATTCATGAAAATTAAGAAATTACTTAAATTGTTTCAAAATTTTCTATTTAAGATTTTTATTTAAATAATTAATTTTAAAAATTAAAGGCAAACTTATGCAAATTTAATGGAAAATATTTTATCAAATTAGTATGAATTTTTTTCATAATTTATTTTAACAAGAAAAATGTATCAAGTGTGATTCAATAAGAAAAGGTATTATGGTGATTTAATAAAAAATAAATAAGACAATGAGGCATTTTGGAACTAAATGTGATAGTTTAGGGGGTTTTATGCACAATACATAGTTTATGGGGGTTATTTGCAAATTTAGACATAGTTGAGGAGTTTTTTTTGCACTTTACCCAATATTAAATGATAATTACAAAAGAAATCATTTTTAAATTTTAAGTGTTCACAATAATACATGTTAAGTGGTATTTATTTTTTCAAATGATATTCAAATTGCTAAATTAATTAATTTTTTTTTAGTATTATTATTAAATGCACTTAATAATTAAATACATATTCGGTTCAAATTAAGCGCTAAATTAAATTAATTAGTTATCAAATGACTTAAACTCAATGTTCCTTTTCCTCTATTATATTACATCATGTAACATTATAGGTATACCTGCTGCTTATATGTTTTGGTGTATTAGTCATTCTGTTTTGCTTATACGTTTTCAATATACCATCTTTTCTGTATTTAATTTTTAACTCAAAATTCCCCCCAAAACCGAAAT